ATATAGCTTAAGTTATTGTAGGTTATATTGTATTATTTCATATCTATGTTTACATTGAAGCTGTCTTTGATATTTTTAGATGAGCCAATAAATAATGTAAACGGATATCATAATGTGAAAATTTAGGGGGAAATGTGAATGAGGATGCTTGTGGACTAGGATTTTAAATCAGAATTTTAAAACAATAAGCACAGAAAAAAAACGGTAAATAAACTAAGAGTCAATTTGAAATTAACCTTTATTCAGATAAGTTGAGTGATAACTGAAAGGAAAAGGATGACACAACGAGAAAATGAAAATAAAAACGCAATGGCTGAAACATTCCTATTCCTTTTAGGCTGCACGGAAATTCGTGATGATTTTAATGATAAACCGCAAAAGATTAGACATTTTTTTTTAGCAAGTGCATCATGTTTAGTGACTCAGTCCGTTAGAAACAACTGCTGTATCGGTCACATGACTTTCTGGAAACGACACGTGCACCGATACAGTGTTTTGCTCTGTGGGCTCGACTCATGCACCGACGCATCAGTGTTAATGGACTTATCACTAGAAAGAGGAAACGGGAAAGTTCAACTCTGACCATCTCTTCTCAGAGTTTTAAAAGCATCCCCACAGCATGATGCTGCCACCACTATGTGGAAGGTGTGTACAGCATGTACATCACAGTAGCTTCTTTTGGTAGGCTGCAGCTGTGACGTTTGGTTTTGTTTTCTGCACAATCTGTAGTTTTGTCAAATTTGAGTTTGTTACACTGAGTTTTATTTAAGAGTTTACATTAAAGGGTGCTAAAAACAAATGTTCCTCACATATTTTTGTAATGTGGAAGTGACATAAAATTTGGTGATAGTGTGGGATGTGAAGGATATAGATGAAGTGCTATATTCCAAGGTTTAATAATGCTGTAAACAAACACTTGGTTTATAAAACTTCATGATTTTCAGTCTACTTTTGTCCTTAGTGAATCTGTGAATTTAAAGTTGGTGTTTCTTTGTGTCTGCAGTGGAATCGGACTGGCCCTGTGTGAGCGGCTGCTCACAGAAGACAGCCACGTCCGACTCTGTCTGGCCTGCAGAAACTTGGAGCGGGCGGGGGCCGCCCGCGCCGCCCTGCTGGCGTCTCACAGCACCGCCTGTGTAGAGCTACTGAAGCTGGACGTTGGCTCAATGCAGTCGGTGCTCAGCGCTGCAGAGGAGATCAAGTCCAGGTTAGTAAGTAAAGTTCATTTTTTAGAGTCTGCCACTGAGCTCGGTGGACCTTTGACGCCTAAATGTGTTTCTGCAGGTACAACCGTATCGATTTTATGTATCTAAATGCAGGAATTATGCCTAACCCAGCAGTGGACATCAGAGCATTTTTCAAAGGTCTCTTCTCCAGGTAGAAATCTAAAATGAGACGAATTCCCTTTTTGTTTTGATGCTTGAGTTTTGATGCTTGTCTTCCTTTTTAACTTTCTCCCCCCCTGCAGGAATGTCATCAACATGTTTGCGACAGCAGAAGGTCTCCTAACTCAGCAGGACCGACTCAACTCAGATGGCCTTCAGGAAGTGTTCGCCACTAACCTGTTTGGTCATTTTCTGCTGGTATGCTGCAGAAACTCCCTTCAACCGACGCACCAAAGCACATTTTCTGAACAAGGTTGCAAAAAAATCTTATAAAGAGAAATTCAGCTTCAGCTTACCGGAAGTGAATTAAAATTACTCTGCTTCTGTTGCCTGTTGTAATTTTATTTTTATTTTATTCGTTTTTTTGATAGCGACAAGTATGTTTCATGAATCATGTCACACACTACAACATTTTAGCTAAGGCTAATTCTCAATGCCTGTCCCAAGTTAGGCTTTTACACAAAACACAGTGACTGTACACAAGAAACAACAGAACAAATTACACATTAAAACATCACAGAAACAAGATCAGGTCAGTTAGATTATTAATGTTTACATATCTGACCTCTCACTAAAAAG